ACATATGTTTCAGGTCAATGATTATGATTGCTGTTCCCTTCAGCCACATATGTTTCAGGTCAATGACTAGGACACCCTCCGGACAGGGGTATTAAAATTATGCAATACTTTACCTTCCCACTGATCCCCTTACTTTTCCAATCTGTGATGCATTTCGAATAGTAGATTTAGGGAACCCCAAATTGGGTGTCCAAGCAACATCCCGTGCCCAATTAGTATGCATTTGAAGTGCTGGAAAGCAATCCATCTTCCATGTCCCATTCTAGAGCTTCCACACATTTGCATTGTTATCACATCCACCAGAGCAAAGTTTCTGAACAGGGTATTGCAAACCAGAACCCAGAAGAGCACCGGGTGACATTGATGGAGCCCATGAAACAAAATTATACCAACCGGGTGAACCTGGTGAATCCTCGACGCGTCCCAGCCTCCATCTTTCCTTGCAGTTAAAACTGGTACATTTCCATCGGAAGGGCTATATGCCAAACAAAGTCCCAGCTCATGAGAAGCCCAAACAATCGAATTAATTGATGACTTATGGTCGTCAAAAACATGAGCTTGATTTGGGTCAAGTGTTTTTAGAGTTTTGATTGGGTCCTTTTGGGTTTTGATGGTGGGCGTGGACCTTGTTGTTTGTTTGGGTTGCTTGAAACTTGATGAACTTTCAAGTATGGAACATTTAAACTTGGATCTTGTACTCTTGGCTTCGATGATTTACTCACTCCTCTTATACTCGGAGGTATTGCATTATGTAATAAAATAGTAAAATTTTTATTTGATTTGTTTGATTTATAATTTAATTAGATGAATCAAAAAAATTATTTAATACATTATCAATAAAAATTTTTAATTTCATAAATAAAATTAATAAAATGATGTATATTTTATTTTTAAAATTATTTTTATTTTTAATATATATTAAAAATAATGTAAATTTATTAATTTCATATGTAAAATTAAAATATTTAATAATTTTTTATTAAAAATTTATAAAAATTTTAATAAGGACTTACAAATCTGAATTAAGATGATATTAATAAAATAGTTTATAATTAGTAAATTTTTTTAATTTGACAAAAAATGTATTAAATAAACAAATTTGCATTAAACCGGATCATAATTATAAATTTTTTATGAAGTTTATAAAAATTTATTGCGGCCATGAAAAAATATAGTAGAGGCTCTAGCATGACTCTTTTTTGTTCTTAAAAAACGCTCCATGCGTGTTAAAAATGATAAGGCGGTGCCGCCGTCGGGAAAAATCTATTCACCGACCCAAAAAAAATAAAAAAAGCTTATCATAACAATGGACGCCACATCATCATCAGCTCAGCACATCAAATCATTCAAGGATCGAACCAAATTTTTGTCGGGATCATGCTTGTCTCCTTCCTAAAACCGTGAGCCTAGAAGAATAGTAACATGTGCTTGTCACGTGTAGATGATTTCATGTGCGTCACTTCTATCGGCATTGGTTGAGTTAGGATTCATTTGAACGGTTATCAGAATTGATATTGAAAATTATGATATAAATGAAATTAGATATTATAATAATAAAAATAATTATTATAGTAAAAGATTAAAATAATAATAAAATATAAATTTTGATGTAAAAATAATTATTATAATAAAATAAATTGTAGTGAAAAATATTGTTAAAAATATTACATTAAAATTTCTATATAATAAAATTTTAATTATTTAATTTTATAAAATTAATAAATATTTTAATTTTTATTAAATTGTTTTTATGTTTAATAATAATAATAATAATTTGTTAATAAATAATTAATAATTTAATCTTATAAAATATAAATAAAAAACTTTATAAGTTAAAAAATTAAAAAAAAAGAAAAAAAAAAGGACAAATGTTGAAAGAACAAAACAAAAACGTGGTTAAAAATGGAAATAACCTACGATAGAAATCAACTTTTTTCCACTGGACCCTCATGAGTCCAATCCCCAACCAAAAGATGCAGTGAGATCAGAGTGTCTCAATGTGATGCTCATTTGTTACCCAAACGGAATGATGCAAATAGAGATTTTAATCGAGCCACATCACAAGTCCTTTTTAGTTATAAAGAAAACCTTAAATATGGTAGGGCCTTTATAGGTTACTATTAGTCCCTATTCCATAAAAACGGTTTTTTTTTTTAAATTAAAGTTGCATCAAAAGTGTATCGGATTTTTTTAAAATGTTAAATTTAATTTTGTTAATATAATTTATATAAATGTGATTATCATATTATTTTAAGTTAATAATTTAATTCAATTATTAATATTTTAAAATTTTTATCATTAAAAATATTAACATGATTGTAGATTTGATGATATAATTTTTAACTTTTTTAATATAATATTTTAATTGATTGATATTTTAATTTATAATGATATGGATAGGACGACATGTTGCGTAAATAAAAAAAAAAACCTCTAGTTTTAATCAAAATTTAAGAATTTATTTAATTTTTTTCAAAAAAAATTAATTAAAATTCAAAATTTTAAACTTAAAATTGAAAAAATGCATAACAAGTATGATAAAAAGACCTTAAAATCCAAATAGGAAATCGAAAATCTCTAACTCAATCAACAATCCCTAATCTTCTTGATTCCGAACTTAAAAAATCCCTAATACAAATAACACCACTAAATTGACCCTGTGAATCCAAAGGTCTACAACATCTATATAACCCATTTGTGTTTTGACAGTTCCGACAAATTTCACTTCTTTGATATTCTAAATGTCAAATAAACAAATTGCCTTAGCCACCATAGATTTTCCAAGAAAGTGGAAATTGTTGTTATCTAGCTCAGTTTTGGACTAGGCGGAGTTGGCATTGGAAACCTGAGTTGAGATCGAGCTCCTGCTGGTTAAACTAATCCCAAGTAAAAGCTTTAAATTTAACTCTTGTTCATTTTTAAGATGCTTTTATTGTTGATGATGTGGTAGTGGAGTTACTATTATTCATTGGAGCTAGGAATTTGAGAATTTATTTATATGTACAATAAAATTAATTTAAATAAAATTAAAATCAGTGATAAAAATGAGTGCGAAAAGCGTATTAAAAAAGAAAAAAAAAAGAGAAAGAAAAGTTAAAATTTTAGAAGTTTCTGGTTCAAAGGATTTTAAGAAGTATTTTTCAAATCCCAATGATAAAAATCTTGGGAGAGATGAGGGGCAGGTTCGAAGAAAGTTTTAGGGCAATCGGAGGTGGCAAAGCGATAAATCTAGGTGTTTAGGATTTAGGTTATTTTGATTTTTTGTGAAAAAAAAATTTAAATATAAACCGATACATCTATAAAGAGGATTTTCAAGTAAATTTTGGTGATATTTCGACATGGATACACGATGATCGATTTTTAAAATCTAGATTTGATGGTTGCTGGCTGTTTGAATGGATTTTATTTTTTTTAAAAGTAATTAAGTTTAAAAATTAAATTTCTATTAATAATGTTTCTTGAAAATATCTTAAATTTTGATAGATTAAAATTTTTGTCCACATGATGTCATTTTATTTATGGACACAATATCAACTAATCAAAATGTCATATAAACAAAATTAATAATTACATCATCAAATTAATAGTTACGTGATTATTTTTAACAATAAATTTTTAAAATATTAATAATTAAATTAAAATTATAAAATTAAAATAATATGAGAATTTAATTTATATAAATTATATTAAAGAGATTAAATATCAAATTTGGATATAGTATAAAAGCTATAAGCATAATTTGATTACTTTTTAAAGATCAAAGTCAAATTAGAGATGAGTTTTAAAGTATTTTATTTCTACGATCTTTGTTGAGGGCTTGATTTATAGTACATATTTAATGTGATGTAATTAAGCTTACCGCATTATCAGTTGAATTTAAATATAAATTATACGAAAATCTATTCAATATAAATTTCTCTCTAAATTTTTAAAATAAATTTTTTTCAATCACAATTATAATAAATTTTATTATTATTTTCAATTTTATCTAAATTAATTTCACTATCTATCCAAATAAAATTTTAGTATGTATAAAAATATATAATTTATTATTTATTTAATTTTATATTTATATATTAATAAAATAATTATTTGATATTTTAATTTATGATGTTAATTTAATAAAATATTATATTTATATATAATTATAATATAATTTATATTAAAAATAATATTTTTATAAATATTATATTAAATAAAATATTAAATTAATTTCAAATCAAACACAGACCAGATGCAAATTATATAAATGTGGAGTCAAATCAAATATTAACAATAATAATTTGACATTGAATCGGATGAAAACCGAATAAAATTTTTTAAAAATCAAATCGGAATGAAACGAGAAAAATCGTCTTAATAGGACTGTTGTCATCCTAGACACAATGCATACAGGTGGTGTTAGGGTGGTGATGATGATCTGAAATTTGTATGATCGACGATGAATAATGGTTACACCTCCCATATTTGAGGAGATTGAGGGCCTCTATTAAGCAAATGTACAAATAAATTAATTCCATACCATTTGGCTGAGGATCCTTAGGTTTCATCGTACGATGATATAAGACATCTTATAGTCCATTTCTAATAATTTCAGTTTTGGGCATACATCCATTTTTTTGTTTCAGCAATAGAGAAAATAACACAAATAATTTATGTAGCACGTGGATAAATACATGGAATTTCCATTTCTTTTTTTTTCTCCTCCAAATTATGGTTTGAGATGTAATCTTATATAAATATATAAAAGTTAGTCTTTAATAAAAATAAAAAATAATCTAACGTAGAAGATTTATATTATTGATATTTGGACAATTTTAAAAAATATTTATGTCTACTATATTTAATTATTTTGATTTATTTTCATATAAATTTTATTTAAAAGATTTATTTTGACTAAATTAAGTATATTTATTATCTTATAAAAATCAAATATTCTTACCTTTTATAAATATACCATACTTCAAGCCTGCATTTCACCGCTGGAATAATTTAGGAGCATGAGAATACTGATAGTATGAGAAGAAAAACCAGTTGCCCAAAAAAACTATGCAGAATATAAATTATGCAATGGAAAACACAGTACCTCACACAAATAATCAATAGTTCACATCAATAACCAATACTTCATACATATAGATAACCAGCATAAACATGCGATTCAAATGTACGATCCAAACCAAGAACCACAGAGCAGTACTGCAGTAAATAAAGAACATCACCAATTGAATCTACAAAGTGTAACACGGTAATCAAGGTGCAAAACTAAAGTTTGAATTTCTAAAAATGCAGCCCAAACCAAAGACAATTCAATAGTAAACTAAATTTGAGCTTGTGCTTTAGCTAGAGTCTCTAAATAAGACTCTCTTGATTACACCCCTAGTTCTATCTAAATTAGTGCCAAAAAGAGTGGAGGTAGGGCAACCCACTTACTTTAACAGAGTTCCCAACAAGATTAGTAATGATCTGTTTGAATTTCCCTGGCTCTCCCACAACTCTTTTAGGAATTTTATCAGAAACAAAAACTGCCAGCTTCACTTCCCAAAGAATTACACCGTCATTGTAACGCATCAGGAACACCACCATTTATTGACATCAACAACCCACCGAAACAGAGAAAGGAAAGGGAAAAACAAAGGCACCAAGTTAGTTTAAGCATATTATAAACCATAAGGATTTTTCTATTTTGATCATAAGCATCCCCATAAGCCTATAACCTATAGGAACTATCTAACATAGAGAAACATACTGAAAAATGAAGCAGCAGATTTTATTAATCTTATCTGGGCTTACCTTAACACCTTTGCTTTTACACTTTTCAGAAAATAAAGAGAGCATATCATCTAGAATAGTTCGAAGGTCAAAGACGACAAATTTGAGCTCTAGCTTTCCTGCTTCAATTTTTGCTTGGTCAAGCACATCATTTATCAATGTTATCAGCGCCTTTCCACAATCTTGAGCAGTTTGAGCGTAATCCTTTTGTGTTGAACTTAAATTTGTATCTAAAAGCAAAGCCAGTATCCCTGCAACCATTCAAAAAGTCATAAGAACATTACCGGATTAAAATTTATTAATGTCCTCGCAGGTATATTTTACAGAGAAAACCTTAAGGAGAGATCTGGAACATACGAAGGATGCCATTCATGGGAGTCCTAATTTCATGAGAAATTGTTACCAGAAACTGGTATCAAGAACACAAGCAACACTCTCAAGTCATAATTAGTTTTAGCTTGGAAATGGGTGGTGAACCATGTGTTGATATATATATATATATATATATATATATCTTGAAAATCATACCTGCGATTTGGCAACATCAACAGCTTCTACTCAAACCTTCAGTTCTTGCATTTGGTGGAAATCATCTTCAACTTTAACAATGTGCATTGCCACATCATATAAGATATAGCCAACTAATAAGCAGATCATAGAGAATAAGAATGTGGTGGTCGGCGCTGTCCATGATGTAGGTGCCTTATGATGATATCTGCTCAAAATGCCAAATGGTAAGTGCTTGCAAAAACAACTGCAGTAATTCCATTAACCTTGTGAATAAGTAGTTAGTGATACACTTGCCTACATATCATTTTCTGCTTCCTAAATGGATCTCTAAAATCAAGCTTGCTTTCATGCAACAGAGCCAAGTCACCATCTTTATTTTGTTGACCATACCTACTGCTTCCTAAGTAGCCAAATCACATTTGCTTTAAATTCTTTTTCACGTCCTATCTTTGCCTGCATTATATCTAAGATTTTTATCCAATTCCCATTTATAATGTTACTATAATTCAGGGTAAAAAGAGGATTCCATCATCTTTTAACTGCTATCTCATACCAGCCATCTGGAAGACTCTGGAATGAAAAAGAGTCCAAAGACTAGAATTGCATAAGGAATAAATCCTGCAATCATTCTACTTGTGAGTCCCAGCTTGTCTTATCTAGCTTTAGAAACACACTCACACACACGTACACATGGTTTTACAGAAGAATGTTGTGAATCCAATTGCTCTGAATAAATGGATAAGACACTTTTACTTGTTAATGCTAAAGCCCTCAAGTTAGAACTGCCATATTATGAAGGCAACAGATACTCCACTGCAGATCATAAGCTGTAGAATAAGATGAGAAATAATCAGATAAAACTATGTGCATGTTTCATTGTTTTCTATCTATTTTATGCATTTATATTGCACATTCAAACAACTAATGATTGTTCAGAAAATTAAATTCACAACTTCAGGAAATTGTGATGATGATAATGATTGCTGCTACTTGACAGGCACATGTTACCTGGTTTATAGTTTCTTTGGTGCGATTTCAGTAATAAATATTGGTACTTTGTCATACATTCAACAAAAGGCATCATGATCGTAAAGAACAAGTAGTGTACCAATTACTGGAGAATGTTTATGAGTGAAATCCTAGAAGAGATATAGAAACTCACCACATATGAGAAGACTCCCATTCCATATCCTGTTGCCAGTCCTCCAATGTCCAAACCCAAAGCCCCCTTTTGTTTTTAATTAAGACAAAAAGATTATTAAGTCATATTTTCGCATAATTGATTATGGTTAATTTGCAGTTTAAGCAATAATAAATTTAGAGGTGGAGAACTATTAAAAACTTAGCGAAGTACATAGCAAGCCACCCTTCAACACAAAAAGCCAGTAGTTGTTCTCATTCCCTGCACATGTTTAGTAATGAACATGATATTACTTAATGGTTAAAACAAAACAGAAGTGTTTAATGAAAGAGCAATTTAGCACACATTAATCTATGATTTCTCTGCTTACTTAGAACTCAAATATAAAACATAAAAATAATTTTCCAAATATAACAAAATCAAAGCAAAAAATTATTTTTCGTACCTTTTTTTCACTTTCATGTTCTTTTCTTCGAGTTCTTTTTAAACATCAATTGGTGAGGACATTTGTCCACATATTTTCTCTTATCTCTATAATATCACAAAATTCAGAATAAGAAGGAACTATCAGAATCAGTAAATGACTAAAATATCCATGAATTTAGGCAGAAACCATTACCAGGCGAGCTATTTTTGTCACAAACAGCATGATGCATGACCATACCTGCAGCCACCGAAACATTGAAAGAATCTACCATGCCTTTCATCGGATTACTTTGCTCCATTATTTTGAACCTACAAACTGCAATCAGTTATACATCTTCTCTCCCATTTTGTATTTGATTAATCATGTGATCTTAATGAGTGAGGGCACTCACAACATTGAGACCTATGGTTTCAAGCCATGAAATGAATTCAGATACAAACCAGCAATTATAGAAGAGATGTAATTAAAGCTCCTAAGATATTCAATGATTGACCTGCCAACAGATGTCTACACTACTGCATTTGTCTTATCAACCAATGGAGCTAGAGTTTCAGAACCCATGTTATATCACCAAATCAATAAATCAGACATTAATTAGAAGGTTAAAACAAAATTGCACTACAAAAATTGGGTATTACTTTGCCAGGTTAACTTTGAATAGTAGTCATATCAAAGAATTTGACTTTTTAACAGGAATTAAATACATTTTTTTCCCTTTTCTCTTTTGCAAAAAATTGTTTTCCAAAAAATAAAAACTACTACATAAATCACATTTCATTTGCAACTGAATTTATTTAATCTATAGTCAAGTTAATTTAACTCTACAAAAAAAATACAAACCTTAAATTTCACCTAATTTCCTGAAAATTTTTGATCAAGCAAACAGGTAAGCTAAAAAAAAAGAAGTTATAATCGAATTATAAAAAAATTTGCCAAAAAGGAAAAAAGAACATAATCGTTCAAATTATTGGCAGAAAAAAAAAAAAAAACAGCAAATCACTTCTTTATCAAATTATTTACTAAACCCTAACCCTTTACCAAATTATCTTCGCTAAATCATCTTCTCCTCAACCTGAATGAAATGAGAAAGCGAGAGGGAATATAGCCTCATTTAGTTGCTGAAGCAAGAGACCCTATTTCGAGCCTCAAGCTTCTGTTGAAGATGATTCACACCTTAGTTGCAGACCTTGATTTGGTATTCAACGCCTGGTCAATTTGCTATCCTCCTAGCAAATATTTTCGGTTTTTATTACACTAATTTTTTTTTATAGAACCAAAGCAACACGTTGAATTACCTTTGTTTTTTGTTTGCCAATTGTGTCCTCTTTAAATATATACTATCCCTACATTTGCTCTCAAATTGTTTTTTCAGACAATTAATAGTTGTCCACCAAATCTGAGTTTGGGGACAGTTATTATATATTGTTATTGATATTACAAATCAATTATCTTAAATCATTTTTAAAAAATTTAATTCTAAATTTTAAGCATCAAATATGAATATTATAAATAAAAAATATACTTTTAAAGTATTGAATATTTAATAGCTGTAATTTTAGTGTTTAATTAAGAAATAATTTATGCATTTATTAATCTAATTTAATATATAAACCAAATGTATAATGCTAGAAATTCAAAACTAAAATAAAAAGCCTAATTAATTGCAAACATATATATATTTTATATTTCTTTCTATTTGCAATCTCACATATTTGTGAGTATAATTTACTATTTAATAAGAACTTTTCAAAACACTAAAATAGGCTTTTCAATATAAAATATAATTATTACACTAAAATAGAAACAATCAATGTAGGCGTTAATTTAAAATAAAATATTTTAAATTACCTCTAATAATTTTATAAAAAATTAATTATTTTATGAGAAAAGATTAACAACTATTTAGATTATATGTTTCCATGATATATTCCAAAAATTGATTTTCGATTTACTTTTAACCAGTTTCCATGATATGTTCAAAAAATAAAAACCATTAATTGAAAACTGACCAATTAATTTTCTCTTTAATTAACTTTTCAAAACTAATTTACATTGCCATATATATATGTTTTAAATTTAAATTTAAAAACCAATTTTGCTAACACATCTAATATATAAATATTTTCTTTAATCATTTTCAATGAAAAATTCAAATTTTAAAATTGAATTATATAGAAAGAAATTTATTTAATTCTTAATTTTTTAAATTGAATACTGAATTGAATCAAATTATATATTTCCCTTTTTATCAAATGTTCATTATCACTGAATTCTATTATTACTTTCTCTGTTATTCAATATTATAAATATTAGGTTTTTTTTTTTTTAATTTTTAATATATCATTAAACCCCCTACCTTATTATTTACCTTACTGAAAAGGATATTACACGCTTAAATTTTATTGAACCTACAATTTCTAAGTACCAACTCTAATAACATACCAACTGAACCAAGAGTTAGTCGGCAATATTAAGTTCTTAATAAGATGATTACATTACATTTTTTAACATTTGCATTGTTTATAAATATCACTTGATAGATCATAACTTCCACTTTTTTTTTCCCTTTCAATGTCAACTTATTTGCTTTCTTTCATATGTTTTAACATTTACAAATTTGTGGGTAGTGAGTGAATTTTGTTAATATCAAATATTTTGATTATCTACATTTAATATGCAGCTATAATCTATTATTAAAGCTTCATTTGCTATATATTTAATCACATTTTTATCTATTAATCTCTTATAAATTGACATAATTTTTATTATGTCTTTGTGATTGTTTTTTTTTTCTCTTGCTATACATCTTATGGAATAAAATATTTGTGTATTTATTTTGCTAGTTGTAGTTGAAAATGTACATATTCATTTTTTCCTAAGTCGTACTATTCAATTGGTGGCTTAATTTTCTAATGGTAAAGATGTGAAAAATATAGATTTTGAAGCCATCAAGGTATAAATGGTATTATGTCTATAATTTTATGGATTTTTTTTCATTAATAAAAAGATTAATGTAACAACATTTGAAATTGTCCCTCTTGTAGGATTTTCAATCATGAAAAATAGATTAATATAAAGAAATTTTATGTTTAGAATCTTCATATACATGCAAGAAAAAAACATTATCAGTACTATCTTAAGAATGGTATAATAATTTTGATGAGTATAATTGTTTAACTTTTTTTCCCTTTTTTGTGTCCTATTCTTTTTCTATATTCTTTTTAATAAGTTATTTTGACTTTTTTTTCCTTCATTTTTATGTAATATTGTTTATTGATCCCATGATTTTCCTATTAGCATTTTATTTTTTGCTATAAAACATAATAATAGTATACATTTTTTATAAATCAAATTTGCTAAAATATTATTGAAAGATATTATTGAAATTACACAAAATATATACAAATTACTATTATAATCCTAACTTATAAATTTATTGTTTTCTTAAATAAAATTAACTTATGTTTAACTAGAATAAACATAAATAATGTAAAATTGATGAAGAACTTTGAGTTAACGCAAATTTTGGCTTTTTTTTTCTTTAACAATAATATTGTTCAAATATTACATTCAAATTAGAAAATCACTAAATTAAATTAAACAAATAAATCAATCAATATTTATATTAAGACACAATTAGACAAAGTCAATATAAAATTTGATCAAACTCACATATGATATGATTTGAACCTTGGATCTCAATATTTCAATACATATTTTCTTTATCACTAGTTAAGAAAAGGCTTACTTGACAAAAATTTTGTTTTCTTAAATAAGTAAATTGGAAATATATGTAAAATTTATATTATTTTATTAAAAATACTTATTTGTGTGTATAATTATATATATAAATAATTTGTGCATTGCATAGACCACAAGCTAGTAAATTTGTAGTATTTGGTATTAGAGCTATGTGAATCAAATGAAAAAAATTATGGTTTGAGTCCACAATAATAATTGTATAAAAAAAATTAATTTCATTCATTTAAACTTGAATTAATTTAATTCAATAAAAAATTAATAAATAAAATTTAATATTAAAATGAATTTAGAACAATTAAAAAATTTTAATTGATTTAAAATTGAATTACTTTCACTATAAAATTTAGCAATACAAATTTAAAATACTTTAGATTTTATATTCCAAGTGTTATTATATTTTAGTTCCAATGATAAGGGCTGATATCACCCAAATTATCCTCACGATGACAATGGTTTGATTCGTTTTGATTTGATTAATATATAATATTATAAAACTTTAAAAATTGATTTGAATTTAAACTGAAATTTTTTTGCAATTGATTTGATCTGAATCGAATTTTATTAATTAGTTTAGTTCATTGAATTTTGAAATTATTTTTTTCAAAATTTGATTTGATTTTTAATATAATCTTTTTATATATTTAAATAGATTTATATAAAATAATTATTTTTATTTTATAAATTTTAAAAATATAAAAATAATAAAAAATATATAATTCCATTCTATTCAAATATTTTAAATTTTTTTATTTTCAAATTTAAAATTCTACTCAAACATAATTAAAATATTTAATATTCAAATTTAATTTGAATTAAATTAAGACTTCGTTTGACAACTTAAAAACAACTTCCAAAAAATAAAACATTTTCTTTGAGAATATTTTTTCAAAAAAAAAGATTTTCTAATCACTACAAGAAAATAAAAAATTGTGGTAGTTTTATAGCGGTGTTTCACTTAAAAACGCTAGCTTCCGTGTTTTTATAAAACTTAAGGTGTTTGTTATCAAAATGTCACTAAATATTAAAATAGCAGCGTTTGTACTTATAAATGCCACTAAAGATAAAAATTAGCGGCGTTTATCAACTAAAATACCTTGAATAATCCTCTCTAAAAAATTGAAATGATTATTGAAGGTATTTTTGGCTGAAAACACCTTGAATAATTCCCTTATTAAAATGGATAGAAAATTATTGAAGGCATTTTTGGTAGACAAAGCCTTGAATAATCCTTTCATAACAAATGGAGAATGAAGGCATTTTCTATCAGAAATGCCTTCAATAATTTTCCTAAAAAATTGGAGAAGATTATTGAAGGCTTTTTTGGTAAAAAATGCATTCAATAAATCATCTCTTAAATAAAAATTTTTAATTAAAAAAACTAGAGTAGTTCTGTCAGTTAGATCATATGGTTGTTAACTATAAGGTCATAGGTTTGATCCATCCCTTTAGCATTTTTTTTATTTTTCAAGAGATTATTTGTAAGGGATTATTCAAGGTATTTCTGACCAAAAATGCTTTCAATACTCCCCTGAAATAATGGGAATGGATTATTGAAGGTATTTTTGACCAAAAAATGTCTTAAATAATCCCTTACAAAAATTGAATGGGATTATTTCAAGCATTTTCTAACAAAAAATCCTTTAATAATTTATTCAAAAAATTATGGAGAGAGAATATTGAAGGTATTTTTAGCAAAAAACACGTTCAATAATCTTTACAAAAAATTTTGGAGGAATTACTGAAAATATTTTTATCCAAAAATGCCTTCAATAATCCTCTAAAAAATTTTAGAAGATATTATTAAAAGCATTTTTGGTCGAAAACACCTTCAACAATCTACTTAATAAATTTTTATAAGGGATTATTGAAGGTGTTTTTGGTCAAAATGCCTTCAATAATCCTTATAAAAAATTTTATAACCCTATTCAATTATTGAAGGAGATTATTGAAAGTATTGTTAGCTAGAAACAGCTTCAATAACCCTATTCAACATTTTGTAAGGAATTATTCAGGATATTTTCTGGCTAAAAATGTCTTCAGTAATGCCATCAAAAGACATTTGATTTAATTATATATGTAAAGTCAGTTGTAGGTTTATGCCCAAAAAACATTTGAAGTCAGTTGTAGGTTTATACCCACAAAACATTTAGTTTATATATATGATATTATGAATTATATTTTAGAATTTATATTACAAACATTGTAGTATTTCAATAAATTGATCACACATCCGAATTTAAAACTGATAATATTGCCATATAAATATACTTTTTCAAAAAATCGTACTCAATATATATGTATTCATATAAGCTGCCAATTGATATAAAATAAATATATACCAATAATATTAAACCAATACCCCAATCTAGAAACTTAAATTATCTATTCAACATGGCATGTTAAAAACATTGTAACAAATGAAATGCATATATTTACACCCAACCAACAATTTCCAACCTCAAGGTTTAGCAAACGATAATGCATACTTACACCATTCTTTACGGACTTCATCAAGTTTGTCTATCATGAAGCTTTCTTTACTCTCCCACTAAGAAAAATCAAAAGTAAATGTTAATAAACGAAAACATAATTTAGTTTTTTTTTAAGATATAATGATTTGAAA